AAATTTCGAACATTTAATCTTCACATTCCTTATATCCAAAATACAAATTATTGAAAGCTGTTACAAGGTGTTTAGACTATCATTAAACATATAGAATTCCCAAGACAAAATCTCAGTCACGTTAATGGGCAAGTAACAATTTGACACATGGTTCTATTAATCGATTACCATTGAATACGATTGACAAAATTTTGGACGTAGTACAGCAAGGTAATTATCGTTACAGTTTCGTAAACGGAAACGGACATTGAATTGTGTTTCCTGTTTCGGCCTACCATTCCGACAATTACGGGTAACGAAGGGTATATCGCGTGACTGTGGGAAATTTAGGTTTTATCGAAGAAAAGCTCGATCGAATTTAGAAGTTGAAACCGTGCGAGCTCTCTTAATTAACGAACGCTAAATAAATCCGTACCCGGGCGGAACTCGAATAGCCCATGAACCGGGGGTGCGGGTGGCAGGCGTAGAATTTATTTCGGCATCGACACGGAACGTTTCTTCGGCAGACAAGAGCACGAGCGAGCGAGCGAGCTAGCAATCCGAGTGCCGTTTAGTTTAATACACGTAACGCTACTCTCCGGCTGCTTTTTCTCCCGAATACTCTACTTCCAACCGGTTCGAAGTAGTATAAGTCGTGGACAAAGTAGACGGCGTACAGAAAACCTCCATTAAAGTCCCTAGAAGTGATTAGTACCCTCCCCATCTTCTCCACCCTCGCTGTTTTCTCTATCCCTGCCATTTCCTTCCTCCCGTTTTCCACTTCGCCGTTTCTCTACCCTTTGTGTCATTCTCCGCTTCTCTTTTCTACTTGATCGTTCGATCTCTTGCTCGTCAGCCAACGTATGCGTAAAGGAGCCGAGAAAACGAATTCCGATTGCTCCGCAACGATCACGAATTCCTTTCATATGTATTTTCGCTGTCACCTTTTTTAATACGTCACCTGAAAACCTCGGTAGACGTGACATTCCGTTGAATTAAATTCAACACGGTTTCCTGATTACCTGGCAGTCGCCCCAATTTTTGCTATGAAAAAATACGGGAGTTGCGTGTTGGACGGCTAAGAGGGTGAAAGGATGATACCGATTCAAATTGATAAAAATTTCCTTCTATTCAACTTTTTTGAGTATCGAAATTTTCAAGTAAATTTTCAATGAACCTCCAAACTTGCAAACTCTTAGATCTTGCATCCCCAAAGATCACAAGGTCATTTCTAAATTTTCTCAATTCTTTAACCTCAATTTTTGGACGTCCAGAAACTTTCAAGTTTGTAAATAAAAATTTCCGAATCTGTAACTACTGATTCGAAAAATGGAGGGACACCGTTGGAGCTCTTCGCGTGGAAAGTAACAGGGTAAATCGGCAAAATTCACGGAATGTCATTTGGTAATCCACTCTTTTGCCTGATTTAATCAGCGGTCGATCATAAATCAGTCGGTAATTAAACGAGACCATCGGCAACGTGGCGGCAGTAAACATGGCCTAATCCATTTGGTTTGGTAAGGTGTGGATAGTATGGGAGTGGAAAAAAGGTCATAGCCTTTCTAATTTAATCTGGCGAATGATTCCGTGATTCTCGAAGCCGGCGGCAACCCTCTCTACTTCCAACCGGTTCGAAGTAGTATAAGTCGTGGACAAAGTAGACGGCGTACAGAAAACCTCCATTAAAGTCCCTAGAAGTGATTAGTACCCTCCCCATCTTCTCCACCCTCGCTGTTTTCTCTATCCCTGCCATTTCCTTCCTCCCGTTTTCCACTTCGCCGTTTCTCTACCCTTTGTGTCATTCTCCGCTTCTCTTTTCTACTTGATCGTTCGATCTCTTGCTCGTCAGCCAACGTATGCGTAAAGGAGCCGAGAAAACGAATTCCGATTGCTCCGCAACGATCACGAATTCCTTTCATATGTATTTTCGCTGTCACCTTTTTTAATACGTCACCTGAAAACCTCGGTAGACGTGACATTCCGTTGAATTAAATTCAACACGGTTTCCTGATTACCTGGCAGTCGCCCCAATTTTTGCTATGAAAAAATACGGGAGTTGCGTGTTGGACGGCTAAGAGGGTGAAAGGATGATACCGATTCAAATTGATAAAAATTTCCTTCTATTCAACTTTTTTGAGTATCGAAATTTTCAAGTAAATTTTCAATGAACCTCCAAACTTGCAAACTCTTAGATCTTGCATCCCCAAAGATCACAAGGTCATTTCTAAATTTTCTCAATTCTTTAACCTCAATTTTTGGACGTCCAGAAACTTTCAAGTTTGTAAATAAAAATTTCCGAATCTGTAACTACTGATTCGAAAAATGGAGGGACACCGTTGGAGCTCTTCGCGTGGAAAGTAACAGGGTAAATCGGCAAAATTCACGGAATGTCATTTGGTAATCCACTCTTTTGCCTGATTTAATCAGCGGTCGATCATAAATCAGTCGGTAATTAAACGAGACCATCGGCAACGTGGCGGCAGTAAACATGGCCTAATCCATTTGGTTTGGTAAGGTGTGGATAGTATGGGAGTGGAAAAAAGGTCATAGCCTTTCTAATTTAATCTGGCGAATGATTCCGTGATTCTCGAAGCCGGCGGCAACCCTTTCATTACTTACGTCCCCACCCTACCGTACGAGGCACCCTCGCGCGCGCCACGAGCAGCCCGTGAGCCTGTGTGCCTCCTTCGTCCCGCGACCACCCCCCAACAACCGGCGCAGAACACTAAATCAGCGACCAGTGTAATTTTTGTAATGGGAGGTGTGGCCTGGTAGGGATGGTAGACGCTTCTCCCAGCGGGAGAACCGGACATATAGTAGGGATACCATCCCTGCGTTCGCTACGCGTCGAGGAATGGTAGGGTTCGTAGGGGCGATTTCAAGGGGTGGAATTCTACGATGCGAGCACGCTGCTACGGTGGTTAATCCTCCGTCGCTATGTCTCGACTCGGGTTACGATCCACCACGTTCCCTCTCTTTTTCTCTCCTTCGCTACCCCTCGTTCTTTCACCCCCTTGTTACGCCGCTTCTTGCACCGCTTTCTCTTTCCCTTCCTACCTACACACATAGGCGCACACTTTCGCCCGGTATAAAGCGATTTCTCCGTTGGTTTATCCTCGAAAGGACGGTAATTAGAGATACTTCTAGTTCCTACGTCAGTTGCCCCCGTGATTATTAATACTCACGGACCATTCTAATTACCGCGCTGTTGATGCTGCTTACCGTACCTATAACGTGTCCAATATTCTCATTATTCATTTCTCAAACCTACAATTTAAACATTTAGTGACTTACAATTTCATACATTTCGATATTTGATCTTGCCTTCATAGACACTTGAGAATGTAGGAACCTTAAAATTTATATATAAAAGAATGCAAGTCGAAAATTTATAAATTGAACATGAAAATTGCAGATTGAACTCTCCTAAATTTTATCCGAAATGTACGAGTCCTGACGTCATCCAGAAATCCCGTATCAGGGAAGCGTCCATATCGGTCCTTTGCTATTCCAACGATCCGCTTTCTCGACTTCGTTATTCCCGCCTTTAATTAACCCGTATCGAATATACAAGTCAAATGTCCGATCGAAGGACTACCTCTTAAAAATCAACTCAACCCTCCGCTTCTTTTTTCTCCTTTTCGATCGAGGCTGCACTCGAATCGTGGGAACACGCTGCGACCGGAGTTTTAATCGCGCGCGAGGTCTTAATCCGCTACGGAACGCCGAGCGTCGCGGAGAATCCCGCTCGAGTAGCAGTTAAACTGTACGGCAGCGTGAATGGTTCGATGATAGGCTGTCCTGGAGAGGGGCAGCAAGTTGCCTGCTGGACAAATACGGGTTTCGGCAACACGAGTTCCTCGAGTTCGAATCACTGAACTCTAAACTACCTGAGAGGAGCAGAGTGGGAGCAGATGGGCCAAATGGGCCCGAGGGACAAGCGGGACTTCTTTATCTTTTTTAGTATACGTGCAAATTGTAGCTGTACACGTATGTGTAAATTGTAGCTGTACATATGTGTAAATTGTAGCTGTACACGTATGTGTACACATGTGTGTAGACATGTATGGGTTTTAGTTGGTATATGGGACTAGTTGGTACATCGTAATTACTTTTTAGAACAAGTATTGAATTGCAGGAATCGATGATTTGTAGATTGGTCACTCGTGTGCGATCACACAGTGGTTCTCAATCAAAGTTACATGTATTGGTTCTCAACCTCTCTTAACAAATCATTTTCACGATTATTTGCAAAAATTCCTGTGCTCTTTATTTGAAGATGAAAATTTGACCAGATTCCTGTGATTCAACCAAGACACAAGTATTAAATAGAACACCGTTAGACCAAAAGTTCCAGTTCAGGCAATAAAATGTACCAATATTTTGCAGTTAGATATTTCAAGCCCAGTAAAGTTCAAAATATCCGGGATAATAGGGAGCCGTTAATTGAAATCCTCCATAGTACTGCAGAACTTTACATTTTAGAATAAGTCGAAAATGTCCGAGCGCTTATGGAAGTGGTTGTACTTGCAAGAATGAAACAGAGGTTACTATTAACTGGTATCTGGTAGTGGGATGGGTCGGTTTTCGATACAGGGAGTTCTCATTCCAGCTAGTTTAGAGTTCAGTGGTTCGAATACGGGTGCGATGACGGTCGAGTGCGACCGATTAAGAGCGGGGATAACAGCCGCGGGTGGGGAACTCGGAAACGGCGTCGTAGGGGTGGCAAAGGTCTCTATAGTGGGGGTTTCTGTGCAAGAGTAGGGTGGATGTAGGGAGAAACGTCGGCTAGGGTGGGGATTTATCACTTTCGGTGGCGTGCCGCGGTCGCACGCGGTACTCGGCAGTTTACAACCGACCGCCGATCAGGCGGTTTCGTGAGCTCCGTTGCTTGCTCTGGTCGGTTCAAGGTGTTCAGACGCGGGATGTCCCGTTTTGTCTCGGAGTAAACAGATATATCCGATCGAGATCTGATTCGCATGTTCCGATTTGATGGCGAGGCCTACGCGAATGTCAAACAGTGAACGTTGTTCTGTGCAGTTGGTGTAGTGTCACGTGACGGAGGGTATACGAAGAGTGCACGGTACAAGGTGTTCGGAGAAGCTGGCTCGTACTTTGCGGATTGGCAGGTAAATTTCGATAAAATCGTTTATTTACAATACCTCGATTGCATGTAACGTGACGGGGATTGTCAGACGGTGTGACAGCCGATGCAGCTGCAGCGAGTAATAAAACGTGTAATTGAAATTTTAAGGCTGTCATTTAACGGCGCTACATTTGAACGACGTTGAATCGATTATATTTCGCATACCGATACTTGTGTGTACGAATGTTGTTGATCTGATACCTGATGTTGGTGATCAGGTGCTGACTTTACCCCTTCAAGGACACCGCATTTACTACAACAGTATCACTCTAATAGTGTTAGACTGATTAGATACAGGCTTATTTACTAGAAGAGTTTTGAATTTCCTAAAAGTATACACCTGAAGACAATTGTTTCTGTATAACGTCCAAAGTGATAGCAATTCTATTTATATAGATTATTAGAATTATATTTTTATTTAAGACATGTAGCAAATGTACCGGTATGTTCAGTTTTAAATTCAAGTACAGTCGTGTTTATGTGTTAACGCTTTCAGAATGTGACAGAAATTAGGTCGTTTCTTTTTCAAACCGAATAAAAATTCTGATCGTCTGATTCTTTCCAGTCGCTTTAAAATTATTATGAAACTCCGTGTAATCGGATTTGCGCGCCAAAGCCGACAGTCAAAAAATCGCGAGAGAGACAAAATGAAGGATGACTTCTAAAATCTCTCTTTCTACGATTCGCGTATTTCGCTTTAATATTTAATCACCAGTGTGGACCTCGTTAAAGTCGTCTAAGTCGACGCGATCGTATGGTTGCCGTTAACGATACCGATTCCTTAGAAGCGTACTTAATCTGCATCCCGTAAAATGCTGGCACATTGTTCCAGTAAGTTTCGCAGCATGAGGTGGCGCTCGATCAGCGTGGTCTCGCGGTAGCGGGAATTTTTCAATCAACCGTCAGAATTATCATGCGAAACGTGACATTTTGCCGGGTATCGCGTTTATAAAGCGTATAATGTCGCCGTTATTACGAATGGAATACCGGTCATTCGCTTTAATGACGCTGAAACGCTGCCAACCGATGCTTATCGCCCTCCACGTAAACTCGCGAACAAAAAAATTTCATTCACCGTTTCTGACGCGCGAGGGCCATGAATTATCGAATAAAAAGCTGTACACTCGTCTCGACGTGGAATTCTAAATTATTGCGTTACCTTTTTCATGATTCGATCAATTTTCAAATTCGAAAAGCACGATCTTTGAAACTTCTAGGTCTAGAAATTTGTAGATCTTCAAGTTTTGTGTTCTTGCATTTTCAGATATTCGAACCCCTAAATTCTTGAATTCTCATAAGTTCCCAAACTCTCAAATCTCTACATTTTTTTTCCTAAATTTCCCCATCGATCCTAGACATCCAAATCCTCAAATTTCGCTGTCCAAAATGTCCCAACTTTTCAGAGTCCAAATTTTTTAAATTGATAAACCTCTGACTTCCCAAATTACCAAACGAGGGAGTCATTCTCCAAACCTAATAGCAAAATTCCAAGATGCAGTAGATAAAATTTGGCGCGGAGAATTAGTAAATTTTTTGGCGGAAGGGGTGCGTGCATCGACCGTTTCGGTTAGTCACAAATGCAAGAGAGATATTCGGTCGTTTGAATTTCAATAATTGGTGCCAGTTTTAGTAGCGACGGCGGTCTCGTTAGTCGTCCTCCCGAACGGAGTGACTTAATTATTTCGTTTGAAGTCCACGGGGAAAGGGAAAGAGCGGCCGCGAGAGAGAAAGAGAAGAGGCTTTTGGACGGTGCACAGACGAGCGATCGCCTGTGTGGAGGTATGCTCCGTGAGCGCACAAATAAATTGAGAAAACTGGAGCGAGGGAGACGGTCGAGCGAGGCAAACGTTTATTTTACACCGACAAATTGGTGCGGCTAATTAGCTCCGGCTAAAAGCAGAAGTATGACCGTGACGTTGCTCCTCGTGTCGCGTCGATGTCGCTGTTGTTGTTGCTGTCGTTTGCAACGTGGCCGTTGCAACACGACGCACGACTCGCGGCAATTGTCTCTTTTAGTCGGTTCTTCCTTTTACTCGCGCAAATTGAATCGGGGTTATCCAATGAACCGCGATAATGGCGCAATTAATATTTATTTCGATCGTTTCTTCCCGATCGCTTACGGTACGCTTCCTGGAGGAAATTATAAGGAACCATGGTGTGGCGATATAATTTAATAATGCCGGCCACACGTAATGTCTTTCGACACGCGTCAGCGATAATTCCGAGGCGAATGTCCAATAAAAAGCCACTTTGCCCGATCGAAATATCAAATGTAATCCTCTTAAGTTGGGTGCACCGGTCGAACGTGTATCTCCGGGACTGACCATCGTAACCTATCCTTTTCTTACCCTCGATCCTTCTCTTTCTAACCTTCTTTCTTTTATCTCTTTCTTCCACTCGTTGCGAACCGTTCGTTTTTCCTCCTCGTCCCGTACACGCGATCCACCCGCGCGCGAGCTTCTAAGTTAACTTCTATCCCCTCGCTCGCTCCCCTTTCCCATCCAGAGGCGTTGCTTTTACGGCGATTGAAGCTTCCCATGGGTCCTTGGGCATTCCGCCAGGTGGCAGTGCCGCGTCCTTCTGGGCGTCGGCCCCCAATATTCCATTTACAAGATTTTTCAAACAACTCCTACTATCCTCCGCTGGTACAGTCTCCCTCACAACCTAACACATTCCCCAATTTCAATAATACATTGGATGAAACCTTGCACAGCTTCCGTAATTACCACTCTGTTGCTACACTTTCCACGAGCCTCACATATTGGCGAAACAAAAACTAGCTTTCAAATTATCAATCAAATTATGAAGAAGAAAAATTCAAATTACATTTGCAGAATTTCTTTCTCAAACATTTTACTTTACCCATAAATTTTATTTATAAATCAGCAGTTTTATCAGCAAATTTATTTATATAAATTATTATACATATACAGTATCCAAAGCACTGGAACATGAAGATGATGTGTAAGATGATTAGTATAATAGTTTTGATGTGTATTTTGTTACAGTAGAGATTATGCGACTTTTTAGAATTATTTTTGAAACATACACGCAAGTATCCGGTCTAATTTTTAACGCTACGGAGAGGGTTGAAGTGGGCGGACTAGAAGCGCACGCGAACGGGAATATAATTAACCCCGAACTTTAATTCGTTTCGTTCACCACGGCGCAGTGGTTGCGACTCGATAAGGCAATCGGGGGTAAAACGAATTTCGGGGGTCGATTCGCCCCTGGAAGATCGGCTCGCGAGAGGGTAGTTTCCGCACGGTTTGAGCGCGCGTTTAATCGAAGCGCGGTCGCGACTCGCAATATCGTTGTCCCCTCTCTGATCATTAAAGAACCATTTGCAGTTGCACCGATGCCGACCGACGTTGAATAATTAACCGGCCACCGACTAAAATCGATTCATTAATTAATAAAGCGGCTACGTTCGCTTCTACTAATAACACCGGTCCACAATTGAATAGAGATCGCGTTCATTAACTGTCCCGTGTACTATTAGCAGTGGTTGCGGTACATTACCATCGAATCGAATCAACCGGGCTGAATGATCGAGTTCGCGGGTCGATAAACAATTTTTTGAAGAAAAACTTCTGTGGTCGACGCTCGGCGACGATGCGGTTCCATCCAATTTTACCTTTAACCGGATACATTTACAAATTCCAGGTTTATTCGTTTATTGTATGGTCAATTTTTGGATCATTAATATTTGGATGATTCCCAAATTTCTGGGTTGGAAGTTTCATTCTCAAATTTTCTAAATTTTCAAGTTTTTAAGTTAGGGAACTTATGGATTCGGGGGGTGGAAATTTAGAATACTGAGAATTTGGAGAGTTGAGAGTTTGGGAATTTAGAAATTTGTGAGCTTGGCAATTTGGAAATTTGGGAATACTGAATTTGGTGGATTTAGAAATTGTGGAATTTGGAGTTTGAGGATTTGGAAATTTACAAATTTAAAAGCTTGGAAATTTGGAAATTTACAAATCCTCAAACTCCAAATTCCACAATTTCTGAATCCACTAAATTCCAAACTGCTAAGCTCTCAAATTTCTAAATTCCTAAACTCTCAACTCTTCAAATTCTCAATATTCTAAATTTCCACCCCCCGAATCCACAAGTTCCCTAACTTCTCAGCCCCACATCCCCACATCCCCAAATATCTCAAACCTTCAAATCCTCAAAAATCTCAAATTTAAAAAAATTCCAAACCACGAATTTCCAAGCCTCCAAGCTCCCACCCCTAACAGGTACAAAACTCCACAATTTGTTTTTATTTTCTCGGATCGTTTGAGCGTGCATCGAGAGGGTGATTCGCGGTATAGGGTGAGCTTCCGCGCCCTAAACCGCGAACAATGAGGGCCCGTTTCGTGTCACCGGTCTAAAAAGACTTTGTTCCTTTTGTTAAACGTTTCTCCCATCTCCCGACACGGCCTCGCTATCGGCGTCGCGCGACTCTCGGTCTCTTCGTGCTGCGAATTTTCTTCTCCGCTTCCGGACGTCCCGAACAAACGAACGGAGAAGAAACTTCTTCCTCCGTCGAATCTCTCTCTCTCGCACTGTCTTCTCTCCGTCTCTCTTGCCCGTGGTCGTTGCTCGACCGTGCCAGCTATTGGCCAAGGATATCTTTCGATTATCAAGACCATCCGTAGCTACCGCCTTAGCCGACCGGGCGCCGTTGTCTTCTCGGCTCTTTCAATTAATGTTTTGATTGATTTCGGACCCTTGCCCGGAGGCCGAGCCGCCCCTTCCGGCTCCTTCGATCTTGAACGCCCGAAAGATCCTGCCGTACTTGCCACGCTCCCGCCATCGATCTTCATATTTACCTTTTATGCTTTCATTGTCTCCTTTATTTAGTTCCGCTATTTACCGAGGATTATTCGTACGTGGCGGTAACAAGGTCACTTGTAGACTACTTTTGTCAAAATTCGGATTCCGTGTGTGGGTTATTTAGATACGTTGTGTCATAGGTACGTTGTGTTGTCT